ATTGCCTCCTCATGACTTCCATCCCAGTTCCAGCTTTGGTTCTCGTTAAAAACTACGTCTCGGCTCACGATAACCTTCTGAGAAACAGGATCAAAAAGCCTATAAGCTTTAGACTCTTCACTTACCCCAAAAAATATACATTTGAGGCTCTTGTCATCAAGTTTGATTCTCTTGCTGTCAGGTACATGCACATGAGATATGCATCCAAAAATTCTGAAGTGATCCACAGATGGTTTATATCTATTCTAAGCTTCTTCAGGAGTCTTGTTCTTCACGGCAAATGTCGGACTTCTATTTAAAACATGACAGTCTAATTTACTACCTCAGGCTAAAAAATCTTTGGAATTTTCTTCTCAACAAGCATGCTTCGAACCATGTTCATGATAGTTTGATTTTTCCTTACCGCCACCCCATTTTGTTGGGGAGTGTACGCAGTCGTCAATTGTCTTTAAATCCCATTGACTTTACAGAAATTAGTAAACTCTTGTGATGTAAATTGACCTCCACGATCAGTACGAAGACTTCTAATGAACATCCCAGTTTCCTTTTCAACCCTAGCTTTGTAAGCCTTAAAGGTAACAAATGCTTCTGACTTTTCCACCAAAAAATATACCCAAGTTTTTCTATTAATGTCATCAATGAAGGTGATGAGATACCTTTTCTTGCTGGATGAGATGGGATTTATTGGTCCACATATGTCTGCATGCACTAATTGAAGAGTCGCAGAAGCCCTCCATATGCTTTCTTTTAGGAATGGGTCTCGAGCTTGTCTTCCTACCAAGCAGTTTTCACATATGTTTACTGGAGCTTGAACTGAGGCAGCCCCTTAACCATCTTCTTTTCTTGAAGAACTTTGAGACCATTCCAACTGAGATGTCCATATCTACAATGCCACAGTTGAGATTGGTCAGTAGTCAGGGACGAAAAACACCTTTGCTCCTTTGGTGAACATCATGTGAGCACATCGAACATTCAATTGCACGACATTTCAGTCTCCATGATTAGGCCTTTCTTAAGATGAAAGGCCTTGCATTTTCCTTGTTGCATGAGCACAGCAAGGCCCTTTTCTTGTAGCTGGCCAATGCTCAGTAGGTTATTTTTCAACTCTGGGACATAGAAAACTCCAGTGATTATTTGCATAATCCCTTTTACGTCCATTCGAATATTACCCTTCCCTAGCACAATGAGACTTGAATCATTCCCCAGCTTCACTGATTTCCTAAAGTTGCTGTCCAAATCAGAAAATATTTCCCTTATGCCGCACATATGTGTACTGCAACCTGAATCCAGGAACCAAATGTGATTTCTATCAGATTTGTCGACATCCATATATGCCATCAACAACATCTCTTCACTTGTCTCTGCAAAGTTTGCCCTAGAATCTTTTGCTTTCTTGGGACACTCCCACTAAAAGTGCCCAAGCTCGTGGCAATTGTAACACTCCAGGATATATTTATCGTAACCAAACCTACCCCTTCCTCTACCTCTTCCACGGTAAGCACTGCGACCTCCACCCCTTCCGTGAGTGACTTGCAATGCTTGTTCATCCACAGTATGTCGACTTATCCGTTATTCATGCACCAAGAGGCTACTTTGAAGTTCATCAATAGACAAAGAATCCAAATCATTCGACTCCTCAATGGAGCACACAACATAATCATACTTCATAGTCATGGATCGTAGGATCTTTTCAATGATTATCACGTCTTCCATTCTTTCTCCATGAATTCTCATCTTGTTGGCTGTGATGAGAGTTCTTCCAAAGTACTCATTCACCGATTCTCCACCCTTCATGTGAACCATCTCAAACTCTTTGCGAAGAGCTTGCAACTATGCACGTTTAACTCATGTTGTGCCCTGATACTTTTGCTTCAATGAATCCCAAATATCTTTTGCAGTATCCTTCTTCAAGATTGTCTCCAAAATTGATCGATCAATGGCTTGGAACAGATACTTCTTCGCCTTCAAATCTTCATCTTTTGATCATCAATTGTTTTCTTCTGTGCTTCAGTGAGATCTGTTCCTTCTGCTGCTGCAGGAATCCCAATTTCCACCAGGCTCCAATACTCCTTAGACCGTAGGAAGTTCTCCATAAGCATGCTCCAATGATCGTAGTGCCCATCAAACCTTGGAATAGCAGGCTACACAAAACTGTTCTCAGTTGCCATGTTGAAGCTTCTTCACACTCCTGTTTTAGACTTTGGGTCAGGCCCCGTGATGGGGCTCTGATACCAGATGTTAGAACCAAGAAGAGCGACAAAGAACTTGCAAAGCAACAACTTGATAACACTCAAATGCAGGGAGAACTTTCTTATTGAATTCAAAGAGTTGCAGTCGCTATATAATAGCTTTACAAAGAAAATTGAAAGAGAAATAACAGCCCACGATTTACATTCCTAGGATAGTGGTATATGACTAAGTCTTAAACAGATAATGCAACAAACGTGTCCCTCAAGAATAGGGATTATTCACCATTACTTAAAACAAATCCTAAAAACTAGGAGACCTAACAACTTTAACAATATATACATTATCAAATAAACCGAATTTTTTGTTAATTTTCCAGAATTTGCTGGTTTGGGTTGTCCAGGGTTACGCTATCAAATAATTCGAATTTTCTGTTAATTTTCCAGTTCAACTGCCTTTCTTCTTTTTAATGCTTGTTTAATTTGAACAAAGGTTATTCTGATTTGCTCGAATAGTCATAAAGTAACTAACCAATCTAATTATATAAAAAAATTCTCAACCAATTAAAATTTTGATAAATCCTAGAAAACACTGATAATGCTTTCACATATATTTAGGAAATGTAGTTGCCCATAAACTTGTTGAATTATAAGCTGTGAGCTAATTTTGAATTAGTTCTAATTAAGTCTTAGACCATCTCCAATGGTTGGGCCAAAAGATAAATTTTTTAGCCCGGAAAATTAAGCTTTTAGCCCAGAAACAGCTTTTCTGCTCCAACCGTTCTAGCCTAAAATTTTAGCCCGGGATTATTAAAGAATGAACTTAGGCTATTTTTTTTTGTTAAATTATTTTTTTTTTTAAATAAATATGTAGACTATAGTAAATTAATTTTATGAACATTTTAATCTAAAAAAATTTAAATTCCGATAAATATTGAGTGGAGTCCACTCCGATTTCTGGGCTAAATTTTCGGGGGAATTTGGCATTGGTTTAGCATTTAGCATTTAGCCTAAAATTTCCCCTTGGGTTGGAGTGAGTTTGGGGGGAAATTTTGAGGGGTAATTTGGCTTTTAGCCCACTATTGGAGTTGGTCTTATTAATTAAATGTGTATTCACTTGAGTAAATGTGCCAATTGTTAGGCTTATAGGTAAAGGTTGTGAATACCAAATGGACAATCCTAGAGTACAGGAAATGAAGGGCTTTGGTTGTTAACGGAATTTGAGGTGAAGAGTGCTTTGTGCTCATTCACTAACATTTTAGACCCAAAAACAAAAAACAAATATATATATATAGAAAAGGAAACATTCCTCTGCAATTAAGCAGAGAGAAAGGAAGCATTTACACGTTTTGTGCTTTCTCATTTTTTCTCTTCCTTCATCTTCTTCGATTCTCATTAAAATATATACAAAAGCAATTCATTACATTAACATAACTGGCGGCCAAATTTGCTTTACAATCTGTTGATTTTGTCCCTTGGGTGGAGGAGGAGCCACCATGGCGTGCTGATGTAGCAGAGGTTTAAGTATCAATGCATTCGTTTTTCATCAAAATAAAAGAAAAGGAAAGGAAAAAAAAAAAAAAAGCAACAGCAACATCAGCAAAAGGTTCCCATGCCCCGGAGGGCAAACCATTTTTCAAGCATATCTACGAGACTAGCTACTCTAACGTATTGAGAATCTGCTATTGTTTGTTGAAAGTTATAGTGGCCTGAATAAATGTATACTACTAGTCCATGATCAACGAAGTTATGAAAAAGAAGTATAAAGCTAATCAAATATCATCCAAAATTTAATTAGCAAAGTAATCTCACCTAATCTTATCAAATCTTTAAGTTGATGATGATCCTATTTCTAGCTACTTTCTTATTCTAGAATATGATGATCAATACATTATTCAATTTTCTTTTGCATCAGTACTCCAATCAAATATCTATGCTAATATGAATTTGTTACATTTTCCCCCCATTAATGGGTTCGAATTAAATCAGCCTTTTGTTGAAAGTTAAGGGCATAGACCACCTCATTCAAATGGTCACACTAGGGAACCAAAGCAGTTTTAAGCTGCAGTATTCTCTGCGGATCAGGTAATTTTACGTGCTATCTAAGGCGAGCACGGTGTTCTCGTTGAGTTCATGCCCAGTTTCTCTAGGATATAACAGTTCAGCACGATATCAATCCACCAACCTTCAAGTTGAGGAATATCATGATCGAGACAAAGCCTAGCTAGTACCCAAGAACTTGACTATTCCATTGATTAACGCAAACCTTGTCTTCGAGCCGAAGAATCCAAGGCCAAGAGATGTTCCTTCCTTGGTTGTAATCCAAGTCAAAGTCTAGATAGCTCAACACACACCACGTCAAACTATGACCTTGGTCGTAATATTTTGACACGCCAGGTAGGACATCATGTAATCAGTCAAGGTGATCAATGAAGAAGATGATTTTGACTGGGAAAAAAAACTTCAACTAGGGAAACTTTGACACTAAATGAGACACGCATAGGGTCAAACACTATCGAATACAGGAAGTCGAACGTTTTTTCGAGTAGTGGCTTATAGATGACGTAGCCACACTCCTTCCCAAACTTTTCTTCTTTGACTAGACCAGGTGGCAAATCCAGGATTCTAATCTTGGAGGGTCCAGTGTAAGACATCCAAGTTTTATTAGACGATTCATCTTGCACATCATTCTTTTTCTCAAAATTTTGCACATCCTTCTTAAAGAACCTTTTATTCCTCTATTTCTCTGTATTTATTTTACAAATACTAAATGCTAATTTTATTTTATAATTGGAGTTAACCGGTTCAATCACAAAAGCAGAAGCCAAAACATTTTGAATAACAAACCTGTTTATACATTTCTCTTTCTCCAACCATAATTTACAAGGTTTATCCCAAGTACCAACATTTCTTACATCCTTTTTGTTTTTCCCTTTCTGGTTCATCACAGTAAACCAAAACGGAAAGGGAGTTCACAGAAAAGAATCGGGTCGGGGCAACTTAAAAACAGTAATAAGCTTTGTACGTACTAGTGGTAGCGTCTACTAAGGGTGTCAACTGTAATTTTAACAAACCTATCTTAGCCAAACCCAGCTCGACTGCTCTTCACATATAAATAGCCTGCGGGATGATCGCAGAGCGCATATGGATGGAAAACGTCTTTTTTTTTTTTTTTTTCTGCTTTTCATTGAATTCCTGTGTGCTCTAGCAAAAACTTTTAGTTCAAACTGGAGAAGAACGAGCAGTTATGACGCCATTTTCATCTGTATTTGCCGATGGACATGTACCAGAAACTCAACATAGGAGGGGCCATTCGGACTCTGGTCTTTGACCATGCATGAGAAAAACAATGCTCCTGCAAGGAAAGATAACACAATACTTGATAAAAACCAATTGATAATCTTTCTTTAATTTAATGCCTCTATAGTGATAAAACTATGATAAATAGTTAAAATTAAGCAATAGTATCTTATAGTCCTTGGATCAGATATTCGGCCAGGTTCTCACCTGACGGATCTCCTTTCTTGCACAACTTTAAGCTGCACAAAAATAAGACAAATTTAGAAATCATTGCTGCAATTCATTTCTTCCTAACAAGTAAGGAATCACCAATGAAAAATAATATCATACCGAAGGTAGGAACATCTTTGGCGCCGTATTTCATTTACCACGCCATTCAGCTTCTTCGATAATGGATTGTCATACTGCTGCAGCACAAACTGGGCAAAAGAACTTACAAGTTAAACAATGATAACTTGCAAAGCGAGAAAGGATTCAAAAAAATGAATTCAACTCATGCACCCTCATTTATCAAAATCTTGACAATCATATAATACTATATAAAAATATGAAAACAAGAAAAATTGATAAATAATGAATCAAGCCTCGTTTAAAAAAAAAAGAAATTAAAATTAAGCACCCAGCCCCCTCATTCTAGTGAACTGAAACAGGTCCCAAGAAATCAAGTTCAAATACTCAATGCCTGAGGCTTGAGGCTAATTGTAGTTTACAATTACGTCAGGCAGAAGATGAGTAACCAAAGAGAAAAACGATAAGGCTACCTGAGTAGGAAGTCCATCAGCAGAGGTGATTCCAAACAGTTGCTGCAAAATTCCAGGATCCACCAAGTTTCCAATATATATTAAACAGTCCTCACCATTCTCTAGAAGATAAATTCCCTTGTCACTCACGTGTTCGCTAGAAAGTGGAATAACCGGAGGAATTAGAGATTCATCACCCTCCTGTCAATTAACAGATGACACCGGTAATATAAAATGCATATCTCAAAGAGTTGAACAAGAAGCTTAATGACTCACCTTTTTGGATTCGAGATCATGAATAGCCACCATTCTGGGGTACACCAGTGGAACTGCCAAAGGAACAGAAAGGGAAGACACATGATTGATCCAGAAGGACTGCTCATCTATTTTTCCATCACTTCGTAGCCCCGTACTTTTGATTAATGCTGAAAATGGAAAACAAGCACAATATATCAATATACATACAAACTCTTCTAAGAAGCTGAATGATAATTCTGTGCAATATGTTTCCGCAATGGAAGAGGCATGTTTTTCTTTAAAATTCTACCAAACAGAACAGAAATTGTTTCTGGGTGATAAGCAGTCCCTTTCTGTGTTTCAGCCAGAAAAATGTTATGGAGAAGTCTAGTGTTCCTGCTAAGGTTTGTCTTTCGGCTTGGATCATATCTCATGGTCATAGGAATGAGCTCTTGGAAGAAAGAAAGGTTCTGGCATCATTATGGGCTTCTATGTCTTCAGCCTTAGGGATTTTCATTTCTGGAAATTAATTAGAGACATTAGGACTGGGGTGCTGCCGTAGGGTGCTCTTTAGAGTTTTGACTTGCAACATTAGAGGTGTAATATGGTTTTGTTTCTGTTGAGAGTTGTATCAAATTGTTGTCGACCTCTTTTTCACTAAGTTTTTGTACTATGCTCTATGATTGTTTTTCATACAATTATGTTTTTCATGAAAACAGAAATAAAAACATTAGAACAGGAAACAGCACCAACCACACACACACACACACACACAAAAAAAGAAAAAAAAAAAAAAACCATAAACTAGTATGAATGTATAAAGTAGATAATAATATACCAAGGGTGTATAGAGGCAGGAGCTTCAGTGCCTCCGGAAGAATAAGCTGTCCAGAAGATGATACAGTAGCACAAAATTTACGATATGAAAGCAGACTACTGACGCACAGATTTGTCACTTGTTCCCGTACACACAAGAGAGCACTTGAAGCAATTTCGTTTGCCGCTATACACAATATTTAAGGACTTACAGTCAGAATTCGTCCAAAGGAAGTTAGACAGAATGTCACAACAAACTGCTATCCTACAACAATAGCACAGCCTTATCCCACTCTATCCTAAGAAGAAAAAATTGGCAAGATGCAGCAAGTGATTGAAAAGGAACACATAGAAAGAGAATATACATCACCATTTCAATCCATCAGAGGTGAATGATGAAAGATATTTTAAAAGACAGTGATTTCGAGGCTTTTTCAAGTCATTTCCCATCCATTTTTGGGCTTCCAAAAGGTACAAACTTGTTATTCTCTTCTCCAACTTCACTTCCATATAAATTTCATTGAAAATGGTTGAGAAATGAAGAAGATATGCGATTTTGAAATTTTTCCTAGAAACCGGCAAATCAGACGGTGATGGACGGCGTGACTCACCGAAGAAGATGAAGAATATTCCGTCAAAGTTGACGAAATATTCTAACGACGTCAGGTAACGCCATTAAGTTCTGTTAACTGTTTAACAGAATATTCTGTCAAGTCTGACGGAATATTCCGAGGACGTACAAGGTCAAGCAAGGCTAAGAGGCTACAATCTGACCACGTATTAGTGAGTGGGCATTTGTTATATCTATATATATATATATATAAACTTTATAGTTTCCACAAATGCTTTTGAATCGAATTATGCATATCATGCCATTATTGTTTTTAGATTGATATTACACCTATTATGCCATGATTAAATATGTTATAAGAAATGTTATATTGCTGTGAATTGCCAAAATAATCTTACGAGATGCACATGTACGTTAATTATGTTGACTAGAATTATTGAATGGTTATGGCATGTTTATATTTATGCATGCAGTATGCTCATCATTGCTGCACCCGGTGTTAGTGCTCGCCCGGGACCAAGGCTAGAATTGGTTGGGTGGCTCACGACTTTGCCGGGATTCTCCAGTTTGCTGGCGAGATTGGGGGCCTTTTCTTCCAGGATACAGCAACGGGTGAAGCAATGGCGATTACAGAAGCCTTGCTAGTTTGTGTTCACGAGAGAGGATCCTCACCAAATCCTCTTTGTGAGGATTTTGGGGATCCTCTAATCACATCTGTTTATCGTACATTGTGCAGTTAGTTTTTATCAGATATTGTTTATATTCAATTTTAAATAAAAAAATTTCTAATAATTTCTGACTGTACGATGTTAGATGAACGGATGTGACTGAAAGATTTGACGGTGTGTTCACATGGGTATTGAAAGAGTGAATAGTGGAGACGGATGCAAGGGTTGTATGCCAGATGATGAACAAGGTGGAGGATGCCGTTGTATGCATGGATAGTGTATTCCATGATATTTGGCGCCTTCTTTTGTCTTTGGAATCTGCTAAGGTAGCCTACAAACCTCGTGAAGGTAAGGCGGCACATGTAGTTGCATCTTTTTTTTTTTTTCAAAAAGGGTGGCACTCATAGTTGGGATTGTACATGTCCTAAGTTTTTATTTAATATTCTTGTGGAGAATGCAAACATTTCAATAAGATTATAGTAAATTCATCTTTTGACAAAAAATAAAATAAAATAAACTACTAGCTTATCTTGAAATGAATAAATGACACGTTTTAAATCACATGAATTACAAACACTTGAAATAAGTCGTGACTATTGCGTTGCCTCCAAAAAGCTTCCATACAACATGATTACAAACTAAATTTGTTTAGCAAACGAAGCACTCATTTGGTTTTTTATTTTGAGTAAATTAATTAATGTTTATAATTACATTGGTTAATCTTAGAATAACAAATTACATGGTACGACATCACCACAAAGCGTCTTGTGTCAATGAAACAAAAATATATATGTTGTAATTGGAATCAAGAAAGACAATCAAATTAAAGTGAATCGAGTGACAGATCATTTCTGCTTTTCAAATATGAAGTCTTAATCGATACTTTATACAAAGGTGCTATTGAGATATTGAGCTTATCGCATCTCGTATACATTCCGATGATTGGCCGAGCGAATAAGTCAACTTCAAAGTGGATTTGTATGCGAAGAGTGCGTTATGACCTGTGGCCGCTTAAGATGAGCTTGCAAATCTAAAATGTTGTGGAAAATGCATTTCAAACGTAGAACGAATAACCGTAACTACCATAACTACATATGTTTTTATTTTATTGGCACAAAATATCACATATACCAATGTTTTATAAGTCCTTCTCTAAAGCATCGAATGAAGTGTGCGATGACTATACCAAAGCAAAACAAAACTACCTTCATCAACAACACCAGACTCGTTTAGGAAATGTTTTTAAATGATTAAAACGTTATTAGAGATAAAAAATTTAAGTTTTAAAAGTACTTAAAGTTTTTGCAAGAATAAACACTTCAAATATTTTTTTCAAAATAAATTTACATTTTTACTAAAAATTAAATCCAAAAAAATTGTATCTAAAAAAACATTCAATCGTTTAAAAATGTATACGGTCATTTAAGCAAGCTATCATATTAAAAGGCAGCTGCAACCAATTGGTCCCACTCAAGTCATGGCCACAAAGCCACCGACCATATTTCCAATCTTGTGCCTCATTTTGTACCGTCAATATATCCCCATATCCCCACGTCAAGACCATTGGTATGTCTGTGCCATGACAAAACCCATTGGGCCCCCCTTATACGTGGATCCAATGGCTACAGAACGCCAATGTTGAAACTACGGCGCATATTTTACAACAATTAAGGGGAATATGAGGTGAGTGTGACACTGTCGCAAAGCTGTCGCGTGTTGCTTTGGTCTTTTGTGCTAGACGACGTCCTCACGGGTAGTACGGGTAGGCGCGACTGTCTACCATCACTATTTGGAAGTTTATACTCGCCCACGCGCACAAGAAGTCAGTGGTCTTAGAGAGTGGGGCACACGAATCGGGAAAGCTCGGGCAAGCTATTAAAAAAATAAGAAAAAAACAAATAAGATTTTAAAGCAAATATTCGTGGAAAATTGGATTCTTTTTAATTTTTCATGTGTTCGAGACGATGTGGTTTAGTCATGTATAGAAAAATACGTTATTAGTTAGCACTTGCCTTAAAAAAATAAAAAAAAAATCAAAGATAGATAACTAGTAAATAACAAATTGCCTTAAAAGCTAATGTAGTTGATTTGGAACTTCTAAGATCTTCATCATAAAAATTTCTATTTGGAATCACTTAAATTTTCATTTAAAGATCATCTTTACTAAAAATTATTCGAAATTAACGGCCGTTTAGTCATTCAAATGTATCAAAATGAATCAACGGTATAGGTACAAACTAGTATATTCATGATGAACCTTTGGTTTGTTTGTTACATTTGGATGATTAAACAATTTTCGATTCGAATGATTTTTTGTATAAATGATCTTTAAATGAAGATCAAAAGATTTAACAATTCTAATTTTAAAATTTTAGGAAGTTTTAACGAAACACTTCCGGTACTGTTCACTTTTAACGAAAAAGACATTTTTCCTCTGAAAAGTCACTCCTGGGTACTATTCACTTACAACATTTTTTTTGTCATTTTGATTAAAACTCAAAGTTTTCAAATTATTTTCATTAGTTTTTCTAAAATTTTAACGATGAAGATAAGTTATTTGCAAGGGGGAATTAGAGCATTCTCCAAGGAAGAATGCAAGCATTATCCTTCAAATTGTGAAGTAAAAATTTGATAAAAAAAGAAGATATATTTGAGAAAACACAAGACCTTTTTTAAACAATTATATCGAATTCTTCATCTACGAGATTCAAATTAAGTAACATTTTTCTTCACTTATAAGTAAAAAAACGAGAGTGTTTATCAAGGTTCTAAAAAATGCTAGGCGTTTGTCGAGCAGCGGGCTGGCACTTAGCGCCTAGGCGGCTAGGCGGGGTCTAGGTAGATTTAGGTAAATTTCTTGTATATCTTGTAAATAAGTGCATATTGACACTTACAAAAAATTGAACTTGTATGAAATCCATGGATAAGATAATAAAAGAATAATAAAATGCAAAAAGAGTATCCAACAAGTTCAAAATTTAAAAACACATTAAGCATATATGTCATAGAACCATAGTGAGGAGTATTGTAGGATGACACATGTACAATAAGTTCCCAATTTTAAACCACACAAAATGCAAAATAGGAGGAAAATAAGGAAATATAGTAATGTAGATAGGATTTTTTTTTTAATTTAAAAAAAAGAAACCTCCTAGCCTCTTAGCCGCCTAGAGCCGCCTAGGATTGCCTCGCCCGACTAGGGCTGCCTCACCCGCCTAGGCGCTGCCTAGAGCCCAACCGATCTTTCTAACCGATTTGCAAGAAAACGCCTCGGGTCACCACCGCCTAGCGCCTAGGCCGTTTTTTAGAACATTGGTTTATATGGTACTTACATATAACTCTCCTTTTTACCACATATCACGTGATTAATGCAATGAGATTAAACGCTTTGAATAATTGTCATATATAGTCGTTGAATGCAATTTCTTTTCACATAACAACAATTTAATGCTAGGTACACCTTGACACGTTATACACATGCAGAAGTGAAAATTTAGACACGTTATGCACATGCATTAGTGAAAATCTAAATCTAGACACGTTATACACATGCGTTAGTGAAAATATAAATATAGACACATTATACACATGCAATGGTGGAAATCTAAATCTAGACACGTAATGCTCATGCGGTATCGACTATAATTTAAAAACCTGAAATCTGATATACTAATACTACACACGTAACGCACATGCAATATTGTCAAAACTAAAACTAGATGCATCTTGTGTACTAAGATAATCAAAGTGCCATAGAATGGAGCAAGGCCATATAAATAAGTTACAATCAAGCAGGTTAGGGTAATTGCCATAAAGCCACCTACCATATTCCGAATATTGCGCCTCATTACCGTCAATATATCCCCACGTCAAGACCCCTGGTATTATTCGAAATTAACAACCGTTTAGTCATTCAAATGCATCAAAATGAATCAACGGTATGATACCAAATAGTATATTTATGATGAACCTTTGATTTGTTTGTTACATTTGGATGACTAAACGTTTTACGATTCGAATGATTTTTTTTGTATAAATAATCTTTAAATAAAGATTAAAAGATTTAACGATTCTAATTTTAAAATTTTAACGATGAAGATAGGTTATTTGCAAGGGGAAATTAGATCATTCTCCAATTAAGAATGCAAGCATTATCCTTTAAATTGTGAAGTAAAAATTTGATAAACAAAAAAGATATATTTGAGAAAACATGAGACTTTTTTTAAACTATTATATCGAATTCTTTGTCTACGAGATTCAAATTCAGTAACATTTTTCTTCACTTATAAGTAAAAAATGAGAGTGTTTATATATTACTTACATATAACTCTCATTTTTACCACGGATCATGTGATTAATACAATGAGATTAAATGCTTTGAATAATTGTTATATATAGTCGTTGAATGCAATTTCTTTTCACGTAACAACAATTTAATGCTAGGTACACCTTGACACGTTATACACATGCAGTAGTGAAAATCTAGACACGTTATGCACATGCATTTGTGAAAATCTAAATATAGACACGTTATACACATGCAGTGGGGGAAATCTAAATCTAGACACATAATACTTATGCAGTGTCAACTATAATGTAAAAACTTGAAATTCGATATCCAATATTGTGAAAACCAAAACTAGATGCATCTTTGTACTAAGATAATCAAAGTGCCATAGAATAGGGCAAGGCCATATAAATAAGTTAAAATCAAGTAAGTTAGGGTAACTGCCATTTTATTCATAAATTTTGAACCTATCTCTATAAGTCTACAAAATATCGAAGGTGTTATGCACAATTCACATGATTATCAAATAAAGTTCTCTCTACATGGCAAATATTATACGATTGTCAATTTAAATAAAATATACAAACTTATATAACCGTGAAACTAACCGTCTAACAACACAACATATATTATAACCAAATATTTAACATATAAGCGAAAATTACAATTCACACCCTATTCTTTACAATCTTTTCCTTATAATAACTAAAATTACCATTTTGTCAGGGTTATATAATAAGAGCAAAAGTACAAATTGCCGCACACGAGGACAAGGTGGAGTGCGTGCAGCCTCGAAGTCCTAAAAAGGCGAGCCAGCGGTGCGGTAAGGCTCGGACCACAACGCGCCAAGCTACTGCCTTTTCGCGCCCTCAAATTCTAGCTGGAAGATATTTCCCAGGACCACGTAAACCGTGTCAAGGCCGCAAACGTTTCACCAGCTAAATTAAAGACTTGGGGTTGGGGAGCACCAACAACCCCTGTTTTGAACTTTGAAGTTCACCACAACTACAGTTCCAACTTCCATTCAACTCATATATTGAGTTTCCATTAATACCCTCTTAGCGTATAGTTTACGACTCAATTGATGGTTATTTCAATTTTCGTTTTTATATTTTCTTTTTCATTTCTTTTAAAACAAATTAAAAATCCGTTTGATTACTATTTCAAAAAGTAGTCTTAGCTTTGAAAATTAAACATAATAACTTTTTTTTGGACCAACTTTGAATAATTTATAGTAATTTCATATAATTGTAGAAACCGAAGAGAGTTTGAACTCAGAATAGAGGAAAAGAAGAAAACCGTATATACTAAGACAATCCATCACTTGTAATAAATTTTTAGTTGACAAGTTTTAAATAAAATGAAAATAAAAATTAAAAATGAAATGGTTAAAAAGGATCCTTCAATCTAACTACTAAAATAAAACAAGACCGAGAGTGTAATAAGCTGAAAAAGGGAAAGTGTTATTAGCATACCTATTTTTACCTTTACACTATTATTACATTTTATTCATTGTTTTTCTTCAATTTATCCTATCCTATGACCAAAAATTAAAAAAAAAATGTGAAAAACAAAATAAGTGTATGAATAATAATATCCAATAAAAAGTGCACGCTTACTGAAAATTATAAATAATTTGTACATGGACGTGTTATGTTGTAATTTGCCTGCAACGAAAAATAATAGGAGCCGAGTAATTTTCCGTCAAAGAAAAACTTCACGGTGGACCCACGTGGGCACTTTGGTAAATCCATCCGGTCCAGCGCCGGATATCTGTGGTTTTGTTGGTCCTCAGTGGACTCTGTGGCCAGTCATCTCTCATATCAGGTGGTCTTGGCCGCTGCTCCTGCTCTAACCATACACATATTCTCCTCTGAACAACCAAAAGCCCCAATAAAAAATCCTGCTGACAAACCTTTACATGTTCTTCTTCCGCTCTCCTGCTCAGCCATGGAGTCCAAAACCCTAACAGTCACGGCTCAAGGCCGCCAGCTCGCCGTCGTCAACCTCCGGTAAAAACACTCTTCCACCATTTCTTTTCGCTTTCGATGTTTACAATAAGTGTGTTTTCAGAAAAACAATCTAATTTTTATTTAATGTTTTGAATTTTCTGCTTTACTTTCTCGTCATCGCCTGTCTTTTCCTTCTCGGATTCTGGATTGTTGAAAAATTTACACCTTTTTGGCGTTTTTGGAACTCCGATAGTCTGATAAATGACTCTCTGGTTTGCATTTCCGACGTCGTTTGGTTCCGATTGTTTTGCTTTTTTCTTCTTTCCTGTTCCGTCTGAGTCTTGGTTTCGTATAGTCTGATAAATAATTTTTTGTTAATTTTTAATCTTTTATATTTTGAGCTCGGTCGTAGTTTCGATGAGTTTATCGGATTAAATTTTTTCTCTTAAGTGGTATTAGAGCGATGGCGGGTTTTCGGGATTTCGATTATCGCCTGTTTTTCGTTGTTAATTTGGAAAGATTTAGCTATTAATGGTGAAGTTTAGAAATTTCCAAACTTGTTGGAGCTTATTAAGTTTTCTGCAAAATGAAGTGAGTGCCCCCTTTGCTTCTGTGTACATAAATGGGTAATAATTATTTGGAGCTTTAAAAGGATGGTGAAGTTTAGAAATTTTCAAACTTCTTGTAAAAGGATGGATTTTTGGTTTTATTAACTTAAATTAAATACGGGACCTACTTTCTATTTTGTTCTCATATTTTTCTCTGCTTGGTTTGTAATTTGTTTTAAAAACACAGAAAGAAATTTGGCCCCAGCACGTTTGTATGACTTTTGACTCCGTTTGGCTGCTCAGAAAACATTTTTGTATAATTTTGACTCCGTTTGGCTGCTGAGAAAATGTAGGTAATCAAATGTTAAAAACGTAAAGTAAATGATGATTTGCTTGGCCACCTACATTTCGTAATTGTCTTAGTGGTTCGGTTATCTCTGTTTTATTATTTGCGATGGAAAATTTTAGCAGTTAAGGGCCTCGTTGCATACAAAGTTATCAAGTTCTGTAAATATTTTTCATACATGTTAAATTGTAATTTTGTGATGTTATCTGTGCTGCTCAATGTTCAGGGGATTGTCGCATGCAACCAAAGCATTCCGTTTACTTATGGTTTTAGCATGCACCCTCTTTTACCTCACTACATTTGGGCAATGCTCTGGGAATGGTGAGATAATATCGGAATATGATTCTTGTGGATCATATGGAGATAATTTGAATGTGGATTTTGTGGATAATTTTCTTGGTGACACCAGTTTGGGCTGTGGAGTTCCAAGAACCCACTTCAATCTTGATAAGATTTGTACTAGCTCCCGTTTGTTCTGCTTTCCGTCAACATTACCTGGTTTCTTGGAGCATAAACTCAAAGTGGCTGATTTTGGAGTTTCAGGGGATCAGTCTGATGATGTATCATCTATAGGATCAACTGAAGATAGCAAGGTGGCAAATAACAAAAGTAGGTCATCAGACAATGGCGTGTTTAAGTTACTTAATGGAGGGATTGTTTCTTGTTCTTTGAACTCCAAGGAGGCTACTAATGAGTTGTCATCCATTCAAGCTGATAGCTCTAATCAAAACGATCTTTCTTCTTGTAGCGGACCTTTACTTTATCAGAAGAGCACAAATTTTAGGCTAAACAAGAACACTGAGATGACCAAATTTAGTTCTTTCACTGGTTCCCCCTCACCCCATGTAGAAATTAGCCCTGCAGTATTGGATTGGGGACAAAAGCATATGAATTTTCCATCGTTAGCTTTCTTAACTGTGGCAAATACATGTAATGACACCATTTTACATGTTTATGAGCCATTCAGTACTGACATGCAGTTCTATCCTTGCAACTTTAGCAAGACTAAGTTAGGACCCGGTGAAACAGCTTCAATTTGTTTTGTATTTTTACCTAGATGGTTGGGCTTGTCCTCTGCTCGTCTAATTTTGCAGACAAGCTCAGGTGGTTTCTTGGTTCAGGCGAAAGGTTTTGCCATAGAGTCTCCTTATGGGATTCATCCTTTATTGGACATGGATGTTTCTTCCAGGGGAAGGTGGAGTAAGAATTTGTCGTTGTTTAACTCCTTTGATCAAATTTTCAACGTGAGGGAAGTTACAGCATGGATATCAGTGTCTCTGGAGCATACTTCCCATCATGCAGAGGCAATATGTAGTACTGAGAAACTTCAAGGTTCCGATGAACTTGGGTTGCTGAGTGTTAAAGAACGTCTGGTTGTGAGTACTGGACAAGTTGGTTTGCCTCTTCTGGCCATGAGGCCCCTTATGAACTGGGAGATTGGTCCACACAGCACTGAAACTATCATAGAAATAGACTTCTCAACTGAATCGAAGGGAAGAATTTATGGTGCAATTTGTATGCAGTTGCTAAGGCCTTCTGAGTACAAGTCTGATACTGTTATGCTTCCTTTTGAGGCTGAAGTGGATGGAACAGCAATGAATGATGATCTTGAAGTACCTATCTCGGCATCTCTTGAGGTTTTGGTCCCCTATTCCGTCAATGAGACTGCTGTTGCTATATCTCTGAAGAATTCTGCTCCTTACCTGTTGAGACTTCTTGAGATTACTGAAGTTGCGGATGGTAGAACCTTGCAGATTAAGTACACTGAAGGCTTACTGCTTTTCCCTGGCAGCGACACATATGTTGCTGTTGTTGCTTGTACTGAGCCACTTGTCAAATTAGATGGACAATGTAAGTTACTTATACAGACAAATGACTCAAGTAGCTCTCAGATTGAAATTCCTTGCCAGGATTTTATTCATATTTGTACAAGACATTGGAATGATTCCACCATTGAACATCAGTCTGAAAGGAGTGAATTGGGTGATATGCAGACAGAGTTCTCTGAAAGTGGCATGCAGTTGCCATTACCGATCATGGTAGGCAGATTTTACCTCTCTCTATGTATGTTTATGTGTGTGTCTTCTCATTTTTGTTTGAAACTGGATTAGCTTTCGAAGTTTGATTGCTGTATACGGCTTGCCATGCCTTTATTTGTTGTCTCTTTGTCTTTTGACTAAGTGATCAAGAACGTGCCCTTTCATTTATTAGTATGAAACATGCATGCTCTTTAGTTATTTGTAAAAAGTATCATTCTTTCAAGGTTCCTCATCTTCAAGGCACTGGAGTCAGCAGGTGTCCACTCCACTGATTAAATCGCTTTAAAAGAGTTATAAAAGATTGCATGCATGTCTCTACAATTTTATTGACTATTAAGGTAGAGCATGCTTGTTACTATGGCTGTTATTGTGCTGTATATTTCTGAATCAGTTTAACTCTTTTTTGTAGTGTTCGAGGTTATTTAGCCATGAACTATCCATAACCGATGAACATTTATTTTTGTGTTGTTCGAGATTATTTAGACATGAACTATCCATAACCAATTATGTAACGTGTCTTTTTTTTTTACCCACAAACATGAACATCCATAGTAACCAAAATGTTATTGTGAACCTATACATGAAGGCAATGGAGACAGCAGAGGCAGATGAGTTGGTGCTACGAAAATGGAAATCTCAAGATACCAGAAGTGGCATGTCTGTGCTCATTGATCATGAGGTATTCTTCCCAATGCTTCAGGTAGGAAGTCATAACTCTAAATGGATCACTGTAAAGAATCCTAGCCAAGCGCCAGTAGTGATGCAGCTTATACTGAACTCAGGGGAGATTATTGACCGATGTAAGAGTGCGGATGGTCTTACACAGCCTCCTTCATCGGGTAGTGTGGTTTGTAATGAATCCACTTCTCCAAGTAGGTATGGGTTCTCAATAGCAGAAAATGCACAAACAGAGGCTTATGTTCAACCGAATGGTAGAGCATCTCTTGGACCAGTATTGTTTCACCCTTCAAATCGATGTGAGTGGAGAAGTTCGGCCCTGATAAGAAACAATCTATCTGGTGTGGAGTGGCTATCTCTGAGGGGATCTGGAGGGTCGCTATCCTTGCTTCTTCTTGAAGAGTCTGAGCCTGTTCAGAGTGTAGAATTCAACCTCAGCTTACAAATTCCTCTTGACTTTTCTCCTCCAGACATGTTTCACATGGAAGACTTCACTCATTCTTGTTTTCAGCCATTATCAAGGCAGCTCTATGCTAAGAATACAGGAGACTTGCCTCTGGAGATTAGAAGAATCACGGTTTCTGGAAAAGAGTGCGGGATGGATGGGTTTATGGTACAAACTTGCAAAGGTTTTGCTCTTGAACCTGGAGAATCAGCAAAACTTCTGATATCGTACCAGACTGATTTTTCTGCAGCCTTGGTACAACGGGATCTTGAGCTGGCCGTGAATTCTGGTATTCTGGTGATACCCATGAAGGCAAGCATTCCCTTGCATATGATCAATATATGCAAGAAATCAGTGGTCTGGATGCGCGTCAAAAAATACTCTTCAGCAGTATTTCTTGTTGTCTCCTTGATGTTTCTAGTATTTTGGTATATATTGCCCCAGGTGCCTGGCTTTTGCTCTGATGATTGTTTGTGCACGAGCGGAAAAAGTTCCTTGGTTACTTCTAAAAGTAGTTCAGGAAAATCATCTCATGCGCATAATTATAGAGATGGTAGATTTTCTGTGTCTGGTGAGATAAACGGTTTGCTAAGATCAGTTCGGGAAGATAAAACCTCAATGCAGGCATCATCTGTTGGTAGATATCCTGATGACCAGGCTAGGGCCTCAGAGCGGGAAAAATTTGCTCAACATGCAGATCAAATTCTACAGGGTCATGAACAAACTAATTATTTGTCAGATATGACAAAGAACAAAGCCATGGCTTTCTCATTGACTTCTAAATCTGTGTCAGTTGAGAATCCCGATGAACTAGAAGCATCCCAACCTGGTAACCTCACAGTCAAAACTGGACAGGAAAAGGGTAGAAGGCGTAAGAAGAGAAAGGGTGCCGGTGCTAAATTCACAGGACTTCTTGAAGTTTCAAGTAGTCAAAGTGGAAATTCTACACCTTCATCACCCTTGTCTCCGGTCACATCTGTAATACCAAAACAGATGTGGCCGCTATCTCCTGATGTGGGCCAAGCTGTTGAGGCCAGAAATCCATTTACTCAAGTGGCTCAGCAACACTTCCGGAAGAGTCATGTTTTTAAATCTGCTTCTAAGGCAAACTTATCACAGCCGGAGGTTTCTACAAAATATTGCAATAACCACCCAACTTTTGCTTCTCAAGTGCAGCCACCAGCACCAAGAAAACCTGCGGCCAGAACTGTTCTGTTGCCTTCTGCCACCTTTCCTGGTTCCAGTAGGCCTGCACCTAATTTGGTATGCTCAACCTCTTCTCTGGCTTCAACATCACGTATTTCTCCGCATGTTAGAGCCCCTGGGTCCAAACTCTGTGATCAGAAAAGTGCTGAAGAAGAAAAGGCTCGGCTTGGGGATGAATATACATATGATATCTGGGGTGATCATTTTCCGAGGCTAAAGTTGACGGGTAGGTCAAAGGATGTCGGTTCTATGACCTCCAGCACTACAGAAAGCGACTCCAACAGCTTCTTTGTAAAGGGTCCACAAACCCTCATGGCAAAGTCTCCACCGAGATCTGTAAGTTTTTTCCATCAAGATGGTTAATGACAAAAAAAAAAAAAAAAAAAAAAAAAAAAGAAAATCAAAATAAGTTATCCTGTTTCTCTGCTTTCGGATCTCTCTATAGGTCTGCTTGTCTGTAGTTTTCTTCATTCATAAGCTACACAGGAGTCCGCACTGTTGTCATACGTTAATATGAAACTGAAAAAAGTAGCCTATGCTGTAAACAATGAATAGCTTTTACAACGACTGCGGTTTAGCTGTAATACACTGAACTTATCAAAATGTAGAAAGAGTAAAGATGAAAATATACATTCAACACTACCAATGAGTTAAAAATATGAAAAGGGATCAACGGATCACTCTGAGCAATAAGCTTTAAGTAACATGTACAGTATGCAAAGGATGTGTTGCAGAAACTTAAATCAAGTTTGTTTTTAGGAAACAGGAATTTGCTAGTAGGATATGTAAACGTTTTCGAGTCTCTCACTATTAATGACACACAGGCATGGGTTTGCAAAAACTTTCTCGAGTACTACTCTTGAATATGTTGCTCTGTTAACAGTTTGCTAAATGACTACTTGTTTATATGAGCTTGATTGTAATATTCAGAAAGATTAATGCAAGAAGAATGTGAACTTCTGCGGTTTATCAGTTCGTGAAATTACTCAAATTAGTACCTTTTTCGATAGACGATTTGTGAAATATTCAATTACCTGGATATACAGCAACATTTTGAGCCTTTGAGGAGTGACAGAATAGAATAGTTGTCATCCATATGTATCTCAGATCATATTCTTACATATATGTGTGTCACAAATACTTATCTAACGGGCTTTACTTAACTGAAGTAAACATGTTTTAGGTGAAGAGAAGCCCGTTAAATAAATATTTCTATAGGGTGGAAATATCTCTATTCTGTGATGCTGGGCTTGGATTCTATACTATTAAACAGAAAGCCCAGGCCAAAATATGATTTCATCTTTGCTCTGATATTGCAACAAAGATTAGTACTGGGTGTTGAAACATCCACCACATCCGGCAGAGACAAAGAAAAATAATAGTTTAAATATCCTAACTCCATTGTGCTTGTCTCAGATTTGGGTTTAATGCCCCTTATCCTGTGTTTTTCGCTTGCTTTTACTGCTTTCTGTCTTTTAATTTTCCCTCCTCCCTAGCTGTGAAAGTTCATCCTCGTCCCATCATGTGCTTGGATTGGCGAGTTCCGATCAAAAATTGTATATCAGATCCACTTCTCTCCCTCACTTTCCCTGCCCCAATCAGCATGTGGAACCCCCATTGAGGCCAAGTGTTGTGTTTGGGTATTTTATATACCCCTAGCCTCACTCTACACCCACAAGATACTTTGTATATATTTGCAAGGGTTCGTGAAGGGGATTTGGATCTGGTGTCTACTTTCTCAATTCGAAGTTTGGCTTTCTCCGAGGATGTGATAGTGGTAGCGGTGTGGTTTTTGCTGCTGGAGATTAGGTTTTTTGTTGTTTGTGTTTTCAGCCTTCGTGTCTTAACGCTTGTGCGGGCCTCCAGTTGTATCTTGAGTTGTTGCTCTCATTTTGCTTGGACCTTTTACTTTAATTGTAGTTGTTTACGCGGTTCTTTTTGGGCATTGTACTAGTTTTTAATGTAATGAAAGATATCTTAGTTGACTTAAAAAAAAAAAAAAAAAAAAAATTCTAACCCCACTTTAACCGAGGCCACGGGACTGTGTAGGTTGTAATTAACAAGTTGGGGATAATATTAGTGTTATTAGAAGTGGGTCTTTGGTCCGTCTCTCTAATAATTTGACGTGGTATTGGAGTTAGGGAAGGGGTTTGTACTACCACATGAAGGGTGGGTCCCTTGGCCTTGCATGTTGGGTGACTTCACGTGGTTGTCGATGTGTGGATCTTCGACGTGACTCACTAAATGGGTTTCATGTTTAGGAATGTGTTGAAATATCCCACTTCGGGTAAAAACAGAAAAAGAAGAGTTTAAATATCATAATCCCACTACAACTAATATCAAGGGTTTTTGTGATAAAAATAAATGCATGTTAGATTGTGCAGTTGGTAATTAACAAGTTGGAGACAATATCACTTTTGTTAAAAGTGAACTTTTGGCCCATCTCTTTGATAGTTTGACAATTAGTACTTGGCAGTGTGGAAGATGATGTCTCGGTGGTTCGAGTGATATATCAAATATGCTCCTGTTTTTTCTTTCGTTTAGCACACCCATAAAATCCTACTTAGGGGTGGGCATAAAAACCGCAAAACCGCATCGAACCGTAAGAAAAAAAACCGAAAAAAATTGTGTTGATCGGAAAAGTCAACTTTGAGTGAAAAATCGAACCGAACCGTTCAAACCGGTTCTGGTTCCGGTTTCGAATGACCAAGAACCGGTTGAACCGAACCGAACCGTTTTATTAATAATAAATAAATAAATTATATATATACACACATGTCATGGTATAATAGGTTGAAAAATAGGTTGAAAAATTGTGTACAGGAGCTGCTACTTCTTGCTTGCTCTCTGAAGTCTGAAAACCTGCAATTTGCTTCATCATTTTTTTGTTTGTTGACTGATTGACCAGTGCATATGTATTTTAGTTGTCTCTTTTTGTTGACTTGGTGCCACTAACAAAGACATTTGCATTAAAAAAGATGTGTTGTATGCAACTTTATGTAATCAGTTTTAGAAGATGTATTTGAATGCATAATGATTTGGTGTTCAAATAATTTATTATTAGGAACCGTAAACCGGCAAGAACCGAATCGGAACCGGTGTAGACCGAACTGTAATGTTCTAGTAATAAATTTAAGTGGAACCGCACTGAATCGAACCGTTAATATATTTCGGTTTCGGTTCCAATTTAGGAGTGGAACCGCACCGAACCGTACCAGTGCCCACCCCTAATCCTACTAGCGAATTCCTTTTTCTTCTGTCCTCTCCTGCCATTATTGTGACATTGACAAACTGGTTTTTACCTTCTGTAATATTCACTCTGGTGTTTGCATTTTCCCGTGGATGTCCTCGATCGAACAGTCTAGTCACTTATCCATGCATGCCCCATACACAGGCACAGGCATGTAGTTGCTTTGGCAGACATTTTGGTATGAAGATTGCAACTTTACATTCACAGTATTCAGTACATGCAACTACGTGCTGTTCCTACGCGTCTCCTGCAACGACTGCTGTAATTTTCACATTATAGTGGCTGCCTAATCAGGAATCGAGCGGTAGGTCGTGCGTGCCTGCCAGCAACGAAGATAAAGCCACACAATCGATCTGTTTGCAGAAACTGATCCATGGAAAAGGACTTCTTGGGGACCATTTTGGTCGCAGGGCTGGCATCGTAGTAGTAGTAGCAGCATATTTACAACGAGAGCTGCCATAGCTACATGCTGCACCTTAACAGTGACCTTGCTGATCAGTTGCTAAGCCAACCAAATCTTCAACATGCCCGGCGGTAAGGTTAGGATGGGCGTAAAACCACTCAAGTTTACTTGACATGCGTGGTTTGTAAGTGATTGGGCAATCCTTAATTCATCTTATGACAGTTGTCCGATGAGAGAGCACTTGTTTGCGATTGCTTTTAAAAAGCTAAAAGCAGCCGCTTATGAGTTTTGATAGCCAAAAACGTTTTTGAATTTATCTTAAGTCAAAATGTGTATGCCAAAAATCGTTTGAAACAAAATATTATTTAGAATAAAATGAAACCAGAATTTGAAATAAAATGAAGCGAGAATAAGGAACTTCTTTTGTTTTTTATTTTTTATTTTTATAACAAACACCCAAAAGTGTAGGGCGAATCACTTCAAAATCATGTACTTTACAGACAGAGAAACATATACAGTAAATTTTGTTTCAGTCAAATTATTATTTATTTCTTGAAGTGGTATTTCACTACACTTAGCCCCCTTCTAAAACCAACCATTAAAAAATTCAATGGTGAACGCCGTGGGATTATAAGATATAATATTCAACCAGAACATTAAAAAGTTGGAAAATGTACAGCAAGAGATGTGAAAACTGCTGTGATTGCCGTCGTCCCACTAGAAGGTGGTTGAGCCACTGAGCTCAAATGAGATGGTGTCCTTAATTGGTATACGCAGGGGCGGAGCCATGAAAGGACCAGAATGGTTCCGGGTCTACCTTGATATTTTTTTTACAAGGAAAAACTTAGAGTTATCCTTCTGAGGTTCCAAAAAGTTTTTAGGGGATTATGGCCCAAACCAGAGGGAGAGAGAAACTAGGCGATAGAGCTGGTTCTCCTAGATTTTAAGCCTTTTCACATAGTGCTAGTGGTTGTTCACAAGCTTGAATTATGCTTTCCATGTGCAATTTTCAAGTTCTTGTTAGCCCTTTGTATTAGGTTGTTTTTTTTTTCTTTCCTCCAATTAACACGGCTCCTTACTGGTCAGAACCTACTAATGAAATGGAGTGGACTTCAAAAATCAACACCATCATCATAGAGCAAACAAACATTTGAATTAGACCAAAAATCTAGAGCAGCAAAGTAATGGCTGAGACGATGACCAAATGATGGATGAGAAGATGGCTAAGAGATGGATTCATGAGTGGGAGAGAGGGTTTCATGAGCATGAGAGACGGATTCGCGAGCGTGTTAAAGGGTTGTTGCAGGGCTGGCATTGTTGATGGTGTTGTAGCGTTTTCTTTAGATTTGTAAGAGGCCCCTCCTAACCCGAAATTCTAGCTCCGCCACTGGGTATATGTAATGTGGCCCTTCTCATTTGGGTTATTTCATTTTCTTTTCTTTTATGAGTTGTCTACATATATATGCATGGCTAGGATCTGGGAACACAGATTTTGATACACAGTTTGTGAAGTCCAGTTTGTAATGTATTTTAATGATCCAACCGTATATCTTTTATGTCTCACCTCAAATATAATATCTACCAAAAATCACTTAAATCCGAAAACATTGGATTAAATTTGGTCTCTTTGTAGAACCATATTCGTTCGTTTTCTTCACCACAAATGAATGCCTCAACGGTTTTGGATTTTTTAATTTTTTGTAAGGAAAATCTATGAATGAAGTACTAAAATATAGATGGTTTGAATCATTAAAATACATTACAAAATGAGCTCTACAAAATAGTGTCAAAAGCGTATGCACTCGAGTTCTAACCCTATATATCCTCACAGTCAATGAGTCCGTAGACCAAATGTAGAACTGAATCTCACCACTCAGTACTGAATGGAGGAGAAGGGATTAGAGAGAGTTTATTTGCATGTGCTGCATGCTTTTGGCTTTTTTTTTTCTCTGTCTGCATCAATATCTTCATCAGCAATGTTCCACTTCCTTCTTTTTTGTTTTTGCTATCGATCTCACCTCCCATTTTCACAGCCACACTACTACTACATACCGATGAGCTCAAAATTTTATGGTGGGGGTCTCGGCTACCCTTCTCCCTGTATGAATTTGGGACCACTAGCTAGCTCCTCATATCCACCTCAAATACAAAAGAAGGGCCTCATTACATATATAGGACCATCTCGTGAAAGGTTTAGAGTTTAGACTTTGGAGTAAGAATTGTGCAAATGTCCAATTGCAAGAAGTCTTTTGCAGTTGCAAGAGGCTAGTGGCAGATCCATGATTCTAACATCGGATGGTCCTAGTGTAAAACATCCAAAAACACATTAAAGGAAAATAACATAAAAATTTAAATACTAATCCCTTCTTCTCATACCTTGATATTCAGCGTTTTTCATCTACCTCGCAAGAGGGCTACTGCAGCCTGCAACTCCTTCACGCCTCTTCCATGGATGCACCAGGTTTTGATTGGACTATAACTTTATATCATTTGACAAAATAATTGCTTTGGCATGGCCTATATAGTCCTAGGAGTAGAGCTCTTCCCCTGCCGAAACATTTGGAGGGTCCTTGGAGATCTTCATGGGCGTTTTTCCGGCTCCCAGGTGGTCCGGGGAATCTGGGACTACCTGGTCCCTGTGTGGATCTGCCCCTGCAAGACTTGGTCAAATTGGTTTCAATAGTGCATGGGTTCATATTTCACTCTAGTTTGAATTTATCTTTTCTTAGTTTAGATTAATTTA